TTATCATTTTTGCAGTGCAAATATTTGTAATTAAAAATAATATACATTTTGTATTCTGTTTTGTAATTGAAATTAATATATATGAAAATGTAGAAAAACAAAATATTTAATAAATTTCAATTGGTAGTCTATTGTTTAACTGTGCAATTAAAACAACAATTAATCACAATTACTTTTTTTGAGTTAATCGTGTGAGTTAACTGTGATTAATCAACAGCCCTAATTTTAAAGTCTCTACTGACCTCTTCCTGGTCATATCTCAGGGCATCTATTCCCTCATCATCATCCGTGATATCCTCTCGGCCACATTTGACCCCTATCCCCATTTGTACTTCTCAAAAATCATGTTCTCTTTTGGTTTTTATTATTCCTTTCTCTCCTTGTTATCCTCCTGCCTCTCTTCAATGTCTTGTTTAGTGGGTCCTCCTCCTTTCCTCTCTTTCAATGGATGACCCATAGGGCTTTGTCCTCAAACTCCTCATCTGTGTGTCTGTGTGTGTGTGTGTGTGTGTGTGTGTATCCTCAAACAATATCTCATCCACTCAGACACCTTCACACCACTGTATGCTGATGACTCAAATTTACCTTTCTTCTCCTGACCTCTGTTTCTCCATCCAAAACTATCCTGTCTCCCTGAAATTATCTCATGGATGTCCAGGCAGCTGTTCAAACTCAATATGCCCCAAACTGAGCTTCTCATCTACCTTCTTGAGCCCTCTCTTCTCCCCACTTTTTCTGTGACTGTTGACATCATCATCCACAGAGTCATCCAAGCTGTAATTGGAGCATCATCTTCAAGCTGCACATCCAGGCTGTGTTGAAATGTTGTCCCTTTTTTTTACAATGTTTCAATATCCAGACTTTCATCTTTGTTGTTTTACTTGGGACCTGTAAGCATTACTCTAGTACTAATGACAACAATAATACACCTAGCCTTCAGGGCCGGCTCCAGGCACCAGCAAAGGAAGCAGGTGCTTGGGGTGGCCAATGGAAAGGGGCGGCACATCCGGGTTTTCGGCGGCAATTTGGCGGCGGGTCTCTCAGTCCCTCTCAGAGCGAAGGATCCGCTGCCGAATTGTCACCGAAGAATGAAGTGGCGCGGTAGAGCTGCCGCCGAAGTGCCACCGATCGCGGTTTTATCTTCTGGATATAGTCAATGATTTCATTTATCCCCAGAATGTTTTACTGCAATAATTTACCCCTCCCCAACATGGTCAGTTGAAATATGGTATTGTTTGTTATAAAGGGGGGAAATGTTGTATATGGGTATAAAGAATTCACATGCCTCATGACCTAAATGAAGTACATAAAACAACTCAGACATAAGAAACTGGAATCCTTAAAAATCTGCATTTGTACTGTACTCTTCCCAGAAAATCTGCAGTTTATTATTAGTGGCCAACCATGTATTTTAATACTTTAAAGTGGCATGGAAGCTTTTATATCAGAAGTGACAGATTGTCCCTCTGGAGTAGAAGATAAATTTGTTTGTAAGTAACCTAGAAAAACATTTTATAAGCAAATTGTAGCTACCTGAATATTAAGAAGTACAAGAAAGTAACCTTTATATTTGAGGATTCAAACCAGCTCTCTTTTACACTGTAGACATAATGTGAATTTAAAAGTTTTTCCACATACAAGCTTTCTCCTTAATGATCAACTAACTGGCCAGAATGTATTCCATTGTAGTTGTCAAAGGCTTTCAGATATTTAATTCACCAACTAACTGAATGCATGATTTAATTTAATGTATTAACTGAGGTTCATAACTAATAGTCATATACTCTCTTGTTATATATTGTTTATTCATTATCTCTTTTGTAGAAATGTATTTTCTAATTCTAACTAAAAAGTGGTGAACTACATTTGGCAGTATTAGTCTCTATTGATCTTACATGGTTTATTGTTTGTGTTTTTGTTCTTCTCTATATCAGTGGTTCTCAACCTATTTACCATTTGGGGCCGCATATGCAGCTCTATATGTGTTATGTGGGTTGCATCCACACACACACTACCTGTATGGCCCCGAGGATGTCACATGGGCCGTAGCTGTGTGCTGATTGGGCTGCAAGTGGCCATGAATTGAGAGCCGCTGTTCTAGATGCTTAGTTTCTTCTCAGTATTTTTTCTCTATTTTACTGGAGTCTGAGATTACACTTAGTGAATGTTTATTGCCCATTTCCAAGATCTTACCCACAAGCAATAAAAGAAGTCAACTAAAACTAGTGTTTTATTAAAAATTAAACTTAAAAAATTGCCATACATCATACATCTGCTATGCACTTCTGACTGTAGGCTGAGCAAGGTCTATACTATTGCATTTGCATGTTTATTAGATGTGTGGACCACAGGCAGGACAGTCACAAGAGATAGGAGAAAGATTCAAGAAAACATCACTTAGATTGTAAGCTTTTTGGGTGCAGGGACTTTTTGTTCTATGTTTGTAAGGCACTTAAGAGAATAGGGTCCTGATCCATGACTGGGGTTCCTAGGCCTTATATACCAACAGTAAACAACAACAGAGAAAAAATGGGAAAGAGAAGTGGAGAAAGATGGGGCATGCTGCAGAAAGTAGGATAAAGATAGAGGGGGGAAAAGGATGAAAAAGAAGAGTCGTCGCTATTATTGTTGCATTGGAGACCCAGGGAGCCCAGCAATCTAATGAACACTAAAACAGAGCTTCCACCTCTAACCCAGATGAGGCTTCCAGATGGTAGGACTGTGCAATCACCGCTCAGACCTATCCAGAATTTGATTCTTTCATCTTCAAGAGACACCGTTTAGCCCAGCAGCCTACTGGCAGACAGCAGGAACAATGCCCTCTGTCAGAATTGAACAAGATGGCTCTTTTTTATTGTGAGTGGAAGAATATCGCCAACCTTCAGAAAGCAGTGGGAGGAATTCCATCAGCCTGAGATCCTATCTTCCACATGGACAAGTTAGGCTAGCGGCAAAGGACAATGATAGCCCAGCAGCTGAACAGGCCTTGCCATCCTGGTGGGGCATAATCAGTTGATTTCCCTCAGTTCTGTTCTCAGCTGGCACCAGTTTGAGTGCTCAAGCTCCTGGTAAAGTGGAGACACAACTCGATAGTCTGATGGTGGTCTAGTCTCTGGAATCTTCACCAGTGCACATACAGACTTCATGCTTTATACCATGTTAAGCATCTATACAGTATGCATAATTCATCACACCAGGCAACCCTGGGAGGGCTGGCAAAACATGCACGTAGGAGTAGCTTAGAAAGAATAGTGATTAGTGCCACCTTGAATTTTCCCTGCTTGTCTAATTCCCTCCTAGTGTTCCATGACTTTCTGAAAGTAATGACCAGTGGTTGAGTAAGTTCATTTGTTAATTCCCTCAACACTCTGAGACACATCACCTGGCTCAGCCGATTTGCATACACACTGGTTATTTTCATCAAGTTTCCTGTCCCCCGTCCCAATAGGTAGCTATAGCTGTAGATAGAAGGTTAGACCATTCACTTTATTGAACAGAGCGATTCCACTCAGGTCGAGCGTTTCACCCCGAGAACGAAGGTGACCTGCAAGGATTCTATGTGCTCTGCAAAGAAAAATTCAGCATGGTCTTTAAGACAACAAATAAACAAAAGCAGAGTGAAACAATTCAGACAAAAGACCTGATATGCACACAGTGTGACTGTTTCAAAATGGATTACTGTTTGCAAACCCCATCTTTGTGATGCACATAGAACGGGTTCTAAATGTGACTACACGGCACGCACTACAACGAAGAGAACCATGACCATTCCCTTTCCTTTGAATGAATCAAATACTGTACACACAGTGTTCTTTCCCTTCAGCACCAAACCAAGAAACAAACGGCGCTACAGCAGATCTTCAGAGAGAAAAGAAATGGAAATGCAAGAGACCAGCCAGTCCCCACCCCGCTCCCTCGGGTTTTACAAGCAAAGAGAGCGAGTCACCTGTTATTTATGTTTAGCGGCAGGCAGGTTACCCCCTCACACCCCTATATTAAATGGTTAGCACAGAAACCAAGAGCCTTTACCTTAATTCTCACGTAGCAGTGGGTGCCCAAGGAGGGATCACTGAGGCAGGCTGGAGGATTCTCCCGGATGATCCGCTGGAAGGTCTTGCCTGGACTCCTTCCTATGCTCCACAAAAGTTTCAGCAGCTCTATGCAGGCGCAGATCGCGCAGTAGCTATACACCAGCGCCCAGAAGAGCAGAGCCCTGACCGTCACCATGAACCCGCCCGGGAGCCACGGTAAACAATCAGTGGGGCTCGCCATTAGGCGGCGGCTGCTCCTCTCAATCCTCCCTCCCCGTCAGCGTCAGGGGATGGGCTCGGCGGCAGGGAGAGCAGCGCGCCACCAGGCACGAGCCGCCGCCGGCAGCCGTGTGAGCGGGGCCGGAGCCCAGCCCAGCCAAGACACCGGCACGTCTGCCTCACGCCAGCGGCAGGGAGCCGGCCAGCAGCAGCCGGCGTGACTGAGAGCAGCCAGGCAGGAGGCTGGCTCCTGCAGTCGGGCGGGGCAGCACCACGCGGGGGGCAGGCACCGGGTCCTCGGCTCCCTCCACTTCTCTCCCAGCCCCTTCGGGGAGGGCAGCCCCGGCCCCCAACAGCGGGAATGACGCAGAGGGCCTCCCCACAGCCCCGGCTCTAAGGCAGGGGCCAACAACCCGGCGCAGGTCAGCCGCAAGCAGCCCCGTGCGCTGCGCACCTACCTTGTCAGAGGTAGCCCTGTGCCCCCGCCAGGCGACGTCAGCCCCGCGTGCAGCCCCCAGGCACGCCCGGGTAAGTCTAGGATGTTCTACACCCAGAACCGGGGACAGCTCCGTCCCGAGCCCCCAGCGCCCAGGCTGGATTCGGGGGACTCATCCAGCCCAGGGCAGCCTCACAGAGCAACCGCGCTCATCACCTACTCTGAGTGTCTCTCCAGCACGCCCCTTTTGAGGTAGGAAAAATATCCTCGCTGCTCAGCTGCGACATTAAGTGACCTTAGCTAAGTCCCTTAGAAAGTCAGTGGCAGAGCTGGAAATTAAATCTACTCGTATTCTCCCTCCCGGTCTTAACCCCAGCCCTCTCCTTCATCGCCCTTGGCTTACCGCAAGGCCCTGTGTTGAACACGAGTACACGGAAGTACAGGTTACTGCAGCGCTGTACACTGGTTTTTAAACTGTTTAGTATAGGTAAGAATTTAAGTTTTCTATAAAATATTAAATGCTTAACTCCTACACACTGAAAATATGATCCATAAAGTGATGGGGGAATGTAGGCTCAAGGTTGCAGCCAGACAAACAAGGGCTCTAAGAGAAGTGAGCTGCTCTTAATTCATCTGAATGGGGTATTAAACCTGAAGTCTGAAACCGTAGCTATAGGGACAGTTAGGCTACATCTACACTACGGGAGGGGGTCGATTTAAGATACGCAAATTCAGCTACTGAATAGCGTAGCTGAATTCGACGTATCGCAGCCGACTTACCCCACTGTAGGGACGGCGGCAAAATCGACCTCTGCGGCTTCCTGTCGACGGCGCTTACTCCCACCTCCGCTGGTGAAGTAAGAGCATCGATTCGGGGATCGATTGTCGCGTCCCAATGGGACGCAATAAATCGATCCCCGAGAGGTCGATTTCTACCTGCCGATTCAGGCAGGTAGTGTAGACCTAGCCTCAGACAGTAGATCTGTACTGATAGAGTATATTTCAGCTCCCTACCTGGGAGTGTAATTTGCTAGAGCAGAGGCAGATAGATGTTAGTGGTTGTTAGGAGACAGGAGCAGACAGGTGGAAGGTAGGAAGTTCTAAATAGTAATCGGGATTTTGGAACCCTTTGATTTATGTACATTTTGGCAAGTTGTTTTCCCCTCTTGGCCCAGTTATATTAAAATAGTGCAATCATATTCTGATCCTGATTAGGGCTGCTACATACTAGGTACTTAAAAAAAACAGAACAATTTTTAAAGGTTAAGAGAGATTGATCTTTAAATGCTACCCAGAAATACAAGCATTTTAGTTCCAATGAATTTCTTTGGGTACAAAATATGAATGATTAGGTAGGCACTCCGGCTTGCCTACTCTTTCAAGCAATCTCTACTATAAAATAATGAACAAAAAAGTTAACCTGCCCTCTACTTGGTTAAAAATGTTAAGTGAACAGAATCTGGCAAATGAAAGTGTAGGTCAAGTACAGAAAATGCAAAAGTTCCACAACTGTAGTTCTTTAAATACAGATTATTTCCACAGATCGTATAGATGGTCACTATTACAAGTCCAGTTTTTATTAAATAGCACATGTATGTGTTAATTAAAAAAAGTGATATCTTCACTATTTAATCAAAATAAAACGCTTTTGAAGAGACAAAGTTATTATGGTTTGGATAACTTCTCCAAAATATTATTTAACCCTACATGTAAATGCAGTATATAACCAGAAACAGCCAGTGAAAACAAGAAAAGAAATCAGCTGTGGGCAGTATATTTTAAAAAAGCTTCTGGAATGGTTCTGAAAGATAATTGCTTTTAAAAGTTCTAAATTCAAAAACAGGGAGATACAGATATTCCAAAAAAAATCTCTACAATGTACTTTAAGTAGTAACATGTATATGCAATCAAACATGACCGTGCTCAACTAGCTAGCAACAAGTAGATTTGACAGATTATAAATGCAAGCAACAAAAATACCCTGTGATGTGTCAATGCATAATTTTAATATTTAACAGTGCTATGCAAATTAAACACATACTACAGCAGTTTACAGCTCTTCAAAGTGGTCTAATCAATATACTGTTGAGATACATAAATAGCACACATGTATTTAGCCACTTGCATCAAGTTTATTGTACCATTGCATTTAGTACAATGTCACTCAAGGACTGTGGCCAGGTTGCAACTTCTTCTAGTGTCCAAAATTCCACTAAAGAGTTTCTTCAAAAGTTGCCATTATATCACTCTGCAGGTTCATGTCAATGGTACCAGTCATCTACAGGAAAGTGAATGAACAGGTTTCATAACTGAGTTATCACAGACAAAAGGAATACCATAATAAGTGAGAAAAATCTCTTCTAAACTACTAAAGTGACAGCACACCTATTGCTTGTTTATAGTGGCATCCACAATGGTAGCACTGGGCGCTGTCCAAACTGCATTAAAAGGAACTTAAATTTTAAAAAAAATTTTGAAGTAACATGTCCACTTCCTTTTCTCATCATTGCAGGTGGACTTCAGTATGTATCTAAAACATTCTTTTTTAAAAGCCAGCCTGTGGCTGTGATTTCAATCACTTCATGGTATCAGGTTGCAAGACTTTTAAAGAATTTGATCGTTGGATGTGAATTGAAAAGGCAAGCACTTCTGATTAAAAAGACATTTCTGTAACCAATGGTGATGGGAGAGAAAGATAATATGTTTATTTACTTACTCTAATAGGGCTAGAGGGAATTTCTTTTTAAAATTTGATCTGTAATACCAACATTAAGTCCAAAACATACATACTAAAGGAGCACAGATGAACAATTTACAAGACTTCTGCTGTGAGATATTCAGAGACCAGAATTTTTGTAACCTTAAATTTTGCTGTCTCTTAATGTTCTGATCTGATGAGCACTGTAGCACACACACACACACACACACACACACACACACACGGAATGTTTTGTTTTTTGTAGGATTATTCTGCTGCACAATCATTGATGTTACTATGTCTGCTTTTGTGCGTATGTCCTTGAAGAGTCTGACGGCCGTCAACATTTGAAAGTTTCAGATTAAGGTAGGGTATGAATTTAAAGTGCAATACCTAATCCAGAGTAGTTTACCCTGTGGACACACTAATTAATTTTGGATTAACCTAAACTGGAAACGGACACTCTTATTCCAGAATTAGAGTGTCTACCCAGGAAACTATTCTGGGTTATGGTGGAATAGCTATTTCACAATAGCTAATCTGGAAACTCTGGAGAGCCTAGAGTTGCAGATGCCATGGGCCTGATCCAAAATCCATTGTAGTCTATGGTGGGGTCTTTCCATCAACTTCAGTGGGCTTTGGAGCAGGCTCTAAAAGAGAGGTGATTGTAGTGACATTTACACTTTCTAAAAAAGATTAGGTTACACCAGCTTACCCAAAACTTTACTGAAATATCGATTAAATGCCAACTTTAGACAAAAGCATTTTGCAGATTGAGGAGTCAGCTGTGGTTTAGCCAAGCTACATTTCTTACGTGGGAGAGATTTTTCCAAATCATTGGGTTAAAGACGGAGAAGTAATATATCCTGACAATCAGACTTACATTATACAAGGAAAATACATGCTCCAGTTTTGAAAGAAACTTGGCAAACAGATTACTTAAATTGTAAATTAATGTAGTGCTTGTGAAGAGTGCTTGTGAAGAGTGCCAGCTAGAGTTGATAACTGTTTATGAAGGACGTTCTTTGGAACAGGAACTTTGCATAGGCAGCAGCATAAGCTTCCCTACATGGCTTCCAGGGTGACTCAGTGTATTCTGAGTGACCTTTTCAAGGGAAAAGAGTCTTTCAGCCTCTGTACCCAGCAGAGGCCAAGTTCTAAAGGAGACTGACAGAGGTGCCAATTTAGCACTGACAAATATCCTAATCAATCACATTTATTGTTCCATGATAATTTACTCTTAGAAGTTTTCCCTTAAGAGTATCCCAGAGGTAAAGGGAATTTGAGTTCTTGGATCAACTACAGTCAGTTTACTTTAGGATGCAAAACAACACTAGGCAGAGATTCATTGCAGTGAGCCCTGTATGACACCATAAAAGCCCCTTAACCAGCTAGGGAAGAATTTTCCACCTTGTATTACCCACACTGGCCCCTTTCATTAATCCTGGGGATAAGTAGGCAAGCTGGGGGCTGGAAGAGAATCCCCACAGCACACAATACTATAAGGATTTCATGCTGCTGTGGGCAGCAGAGTAACCTATAAGCAGCCCTGATGTATATCACCAGCCCCTGGAGCAGCCCAAAATTGGCTTAAGTCACTTTTGTGCCTTTCCACCGTTGATCCTCGCACCTCCCTTTCCCCATTACTCTGTCTTTCTGTGTTGTACCTCCTGGAGGTGTAGCACAGAATCTTAAGCCTCAGACTTTACTTACTGGGACAGATCTTCAGCTATTTTAAATCAGCATAATTCCATTGTCTTCAAGTGAATCGACAATGATTTATGCCAGTTGAGGATCTAGTCCACCTTATTTTGTGCTCAGCTGTAAGTAAAGCAAAAGTTATTAGTTGAAAAAAGTTCCATGACTTACAGCTTCTCTCCGCCTGCGCTCTTGCTCCATTTTTCTAGCCAGGTTACGGTCTTTGACAAAACCTTTCTGGATATTTTGTTGAACCCCAGGTGGTTGTTGCTGTTCGCTGTTTGGCCTCTCTTTTTGTGGCTCTTCATCGGCTTTCATTCCAGTGGATTCCAGTTCTGCTCCTTCATGGGCCCTTAAAAAGTAAAAATGTCTGATTCTTTGGTTTCCTCAGCATTATTTCTGTAGCCTTAACACGTGTCAGCTGAACAAAAGTGTCTGTTAGTAGCTTAATCAGCACTTACCTAGTACACAATACTTTAATGTGGTCCAACAATATGTATTGCACATGTTCATTAATTATGTTCATTAATTATATAAAGCTTTTCCCAAAATATAAGCATTACGTGGCAATATTTTTGTTTTTAAATGGGAAGCAACGGAATAAGCACCATTGATACTCCCCACCACAAACCTATATGGGAATTGTATATTTTTTTTTAGATGAAATAAGTTTTGTAAACAAAGAATATAAAATGGGGATTTTCTTACGTGTGAGTCAGGTAAGGGAAATGTCAGAAGCCAGTCTAGACTCATGGTTTCTGCCTTGTTCCTCTTTGACTGGCCAATCTGATAGGAGTTTTTTCTATCAAGTGACCCCCTGCTGCCTAAAATAGGGCAAGCCACCCCAATGTCTTATTCCACTGATGCCTCTCTTCTATTGAAAGTGAGGGGCATGGCGTGGGGCAGAGAGCAGTCTCATCCAGTCAGTGGCTTGTCGTTGGAGGACTTGCAGACCTGAGAAGAGGCATTTTTGAGGGGCATGGCAGGGAATGGAGAGAGGCTGTCAGCCCATGGATTATGGAGGCTTGCCAACAGCGCTGTCAGCTCTGACAGCTGTATGGATTTGGCAGTGCACTGATTGCATGTTAAAATGGATGCAATGCACTGGTGCAAATTCAATGGAGATGCAGGGCTTACCCCTACACATTTTAGGAATAGAATTTTGTTATAGCTCTGCCACAGGTGGTTCTGTTACAGCGGAGGAAGTGCAAAAATGCAATTATCTTGAATTTAAAGCTGATTAACTCAGTCTTGATTAACTCAACGTATGGATCCTTTTATTCCAGAACTCATCCACACAGAGCTACTCAGAAATAGCTATTCCAGAATATCTCCCAATGTAGATGAGTCCTAAATTGCATATGACTGATTCTGTTATGACTACTGGTGCAGTTGCTCATTACACATCCTTAAATAATTGTATTATCGGCTTATCAAACAGACTGGTGAGTCACACTTTCATGGACAAGCCAACATAGCATATTTCAAAGGAGTCATGTGGTACTTTATGAATAAACTGATTCCTTACTGGTTTAAGTATTTTTTTTAAAAATAGAAATTAACTTAATAAATTCCGCACAGCCATCCAAGAACCCAGTTGACAGGCACTTGATACAAATAAAGTGGACATGCGAAATTGGGTCATTTTCCCACTCAGTTATAAGGAATTACAAACCTCTCTTTTTCTTGAAAGGGGATTTTCCCTTTCCTCTTGGCTTGTTCCAGTTGTCTCCTTAACTCTTGTGCTCGCTCTGTTTCTTCCTTTTCTAGTGCTGCTTTCCTGAACTGTTTGAAGTTCTCCGGAGATGCCTTTATGGGAACTGGAAGTGCCATCTTTTTACATAAATTTATCCAGGAGTCTGCATTCTTAATTCTGATGTCCTGAAATTCATCCAAAGAAGTGAGGTTTTTACCCACGAAAGCTTATGCCCAAATAAATCTGTTAGTCTTTAAAGTGCCACCAGACTCCTTGTTGTTTTTGTAGATACAGACTAACACGACTACCCCCTGATACTTAGTCCTTACAATACTCACAAAACACTTGGTTTTCACTGGGCATACTTTCACTCATAAGATGCAAACACATCATAACTTTTTCAGTGCAGTTTTCAAATAGGAATGTTCTATTAGATATAAGCTTTCAAAAATTTTTGTTGTAGATATTCTAAGTGTGCTTTCTCAAATAATGCTACTCTGTAGAAAAATGGATTACCAGCAATAGACATATCTGTTAAATATCTTCCCCAGATCCTCCCTATTAGGACATATGCACCAGATTTTCTAGACCCAGAATGAGATGCATTCAGGACTGCCTTTTTTTGTTTTTAAACACACACACACACTCTTCCCCCCGCCCTCCCCCCCCCCAATATTTTCTCCTGCATCCCAGTTCTAGGAAAGCTCCCATCCCAGTTCTAGGAAAGCTCCTATCAGGCCTGCATTTAAAAAAAAATATGAAAAAAGGGGAAATGGTTGGATGCATGGAGATCTGTGAGGGATACCCTAGTTCTCTGTAGGGGGATTTCCTTTGTAAAGTCAATGCACAATATTGGGTTAATAAACAGTACTTTTAGAGAAGTTTTTATGAAAATCTATTATTTTGTTTGACTGATTACATATCTGCCCTGGGATCTGAATCCAAATATTAATAATTGAAGAAAATATAAGCTGGTGGAACAATGGAAATTTACTAAGGGCTAGTCTATAGACTCTACACTACCATGCTACATCAGCACAGCTGCACTGATGCAGCTGTGCTGCTGTAGAGTGTCTGGTGAAGACGCGCTATGCTGACAAGAGAGCACTATCCCATTGACATAATTTCTCCACCTCAACGATAGGTGGAAGCCATGTCGGTGGGAGAACATCTCCCGCCAACATAGTGCGGCATAGACACCGCTTTAAGTAGATGCAACTTATGTCGCTCGGGGGTGGCTTTTTCTCACCCCTGAGTGACGCAAGTTACATCAACATAAGCGGTAACATAGACAAGCCTTTTGTTAATACTTAAGAGCTGAGTGTGTTGACAGGAATTCTAGAAACATTTACCAGGGTTAAACATACCTCTACAGTGTCTAGGGGCCATGAGGCCAACTAAAACTAGCACTTCTGCAAATATTATCAAGTATCAACTTTTCCTGCAACAGCAAGTTGGCAGGAACTGGAAGATCCCCTCTCCCTGCCATTTTCTAAAGTAAGCCAGTGCAGTTCAGGAATACTGAGAAGAACCTTCTTGCTAACCCCTCCCAAAATCCTCAAGCTGGTCCCATGCATAGCGGTGGGATCATAATCACTTAGTTATTTAACTTTTTTTTGTGGTGTAGAGGTGTGAAAAATTCTTTCCTAGTCCCACATGAAATTTTGAACTCCAGCACTACTATTAGAGGTATTTGCTCAAGTATTGCTATGACCTGGTATTGTGTAATATGGAGGCGATGGATGCTAGTATTAAAAAAACCCCACACCCTGAAAAGAGTCAAACCACATTAGTTAACAACGTAGTACAGGTGCACAAGTTTTGAATTCTGAGTCCTTTGTTTTGATATGTTAACTTTTTTATGATGTGAAATCCTAGAAATATAGGGCTGGATGGGCCCTCAAGAGGTCATCTAGTCCACCTCCCACCACCATATTGAGGCAGGGTTAAGTACCTAGACCATCCTTGAAGGGTATTTGTCTAAGCTGTCTTGGAAATATCCAATCACTGTGATTCCATAACCTCCCTAGGTAACGTGTTCCAGTGTTTAAACTATCCCTTATAGTTATTTCCTAATTTCCAACTTAAATCTCCCTTGGTATAAACTAAACTGATTACTATTTCTCCTACCCTTGGTAGATATGGAGAACAAATTGGTCACCAACCTCTTTATAACAACTCTTAATGTATATGAAGACCTATGTCCCCCCCCTCAGCGTTCTCTTCTCTAAATATGTCCAATTCTTTTAATTTTTCTTCATAGTTCACGTTTCCTAAACTTCTTATTTTTGTTGCTATCCTCTGATGTGTCTGTCTCTCTTCCCTCCCCCCCCCAATTTGTCCACATCTTTCTTAAAGTGTGGTGCCCAAAACTGGCCAGAGTACTCCAGCTGAGGCCTCACCAATGCCAATATTATACAACATACTTGCTTCCATTGTCCAAGTCATTACTGAAAATATTTACTAGTATCTGACCCATGACAGACCACCACTTGTACATGCTTCCATTTTGACAGCAGTCCATTGATAACTACTCTGAGTGCAGTCTTTCAACCAGTTGTGCACCCACTTTATAGTAATTTCATCTAGACTATATTTCTTTAGATTGCTTATGAGAACATCAGGTGGGACTGTTAACAGTCTTACTAGAGTCCAGATAGATGTCTACTGCTTTCCCCCCTACCCCACCCCACTAGGCCAGTTAGCCTGCCAAAGAAGGAAATTAGATGGATTTGACATGATTTATTCTTGAGGAACTATCAGAAATTTGTCGATAGTTCCTCATCACCCAGTTATGCTCTAGCTTTGAATAAATTGTTTAATTGTTTGTTTCAGTATCTTTCTTGATATTGCAATTAGGATGACTGGTGTATAATTCCCCAGGTCCTCCTTTTCAAAGTTAGGTATGGTTTGTCCTTCTCCAGTTCTCTGGGACCTCCCCTGTCCTCCATGAGTTCTCAGATAATTGCAATAGTTCGGAGACTGCTTCGGCTAGTTCCTTAAGTACTCTAGGGTGAATTTCACAGACCCTGCTGACTTGAATACATCTACCTTATCTAAATATGTTCTTTCCCATTTCTGGCCTAAGATTCTTCCACTTTGTTGTGAATATTAATTGTGTTAAGCATCTGGTCACAGTAGAACATGACATAAAATAGCATAAACCAATAGAAAAAAATAGGACATGGAATAGAAACATGTGCTTGAGTCTTTGGAAGATGGATTTCAATAGCTCCCAAGGTCTGCGAGACAATGAACACATAAGCCATAGAAGTCACTTGAGAAGATCCTGAGATAAGGTGCTGCTGCTTTATAATAAACTTTAAAGGTCTTCAAATAAGATATGCAAAATTGTTTCCTTGAGTCTTAAGAGGGACATCCAAAAAGACAATATTCCTACCTTTTTAGGAAGAATTTGAAATGTAGGATCTAGTGTGTTTTTATCATCAGTGCTGTCAGAATGACCTGTTGGAACAATAGAATGAGCTTTATGAGTCATGTGTTGATCATCTGGAAGATGCTTCTATTTCTGGAATGGAAGCCCACTGAAAAAGTCCTTTACAAGTTGGTCTCTGCTTTTATCATTGTGGCAGAGGAGCTCCTGAATTCATCAGTCCCAAGTAAGACAGAAAGAGATGCCTAAAGTGCTTTCACTTTCCTGAGTTAGAAGTTTAAGTGTTTCAATAGGGTTTGTGGGTTTTGTTCCACCCTTCATTTTGTGAAGGCTCTCTCTAGAACCCCTCCTTTCCCTGTAGAAAGCTAATGTAGGCAGGACAAAAAACCTTCTTAGAAACTGCAGTGCTTTCTATTTCTAGTTACTAGACTGGGAGGGGGAAAAAAAACCCCTCTACATTACTCATCTCCTTTCCCCTCGCTCTCCAACAGAGATTGACTATCCCTTCTGTGATGTTCCCAGCCTCCCCTAGAGAGGGAGGAGTCAGTTACTTAGTAACCTCACATTCTGCATAAAAGCATTTCTCCTGCCAGTTTCCACCTTTTTAAACAAGTAGGTCAGTCAGTAAGGTCTTCTAGTCATGTAAACCCATTTCCACTTCCAGTAGCTCCAGGGTACAGAATGTTTAAGAAATAAGGTATGTGCTCTGAGTAATTATCTTATTTGTTACACTGATAGATAATTCATTCTGAAAGGCAAACTATAAATTCCATTTCAGTAGCATTCATTTCAACACATATAAATGGAAATTTCTCTCTACTATATGTACTGCAAAAGAAAAAAACCCTCAAAATATCATGTGTTTTTGCCAAAAACATTTTTTTGAATTGTGCACTTAGAGTAATATTAGAAATACCTTGACAAGTATGTGGAATTGCAGATGACTAAGTCTCCCATTATTTCAGGTAAAACATACTGAATCAATAGGCAGAATTACCACACAGTAACAGAAGCGTTATGCTGCTTTTACCCCGGATATCACTGCTTTTTAGTGCTCAGAAGGGATTTCTATATCTAGATTGTTAAGTGCTTTGAGGATGGAAGCTAAATCTTTGTTTTTCACAAAGGAACTGCTTTAGACATTGATATAGCACAAAACATTGGTTTAATACTCTTGCACCTTTTTGTAATAAAACTCACTACCATCTACTCTGGGTAACTAAACTAGGTTTCAGTAATTCTGTGTAGAATTATTTTTACCAAATGTTTAACAGATTTGATAGCTACAGGATAAAATATTATGTAAGCAGTTACATAAGCATCCCGGGCTCACAAACATGTAGAAAACATTAAGACATTAAAGTGCCTTCTGTGAAAATTTAAACTGTGGTCTCCAAATGCGATTTTCCAAAAGCAACCTTTACAAGAAGCAAACATCCCAAGTAGTCTTTTTTTTTTTAATTAAAGTCAGAAAATGAGCATACTACTCAACTTAAAATGAGCAAGAGTTTTGGCTAGCCAAATAAAATAGGATACCAAGTCAAGGCAGCCCTGTTGATGGGGGTCTGAGCCCCGGTATGTCTCACCGATGACCTTGTAAGTTTCTGGACCTATCTAAACTCAAACCTATCTAGACAGCTTCTATGAGACCTGGAGAAAGGTCACTATCTTCATGCTTCTCCAACATGGAGATTTACTTGGCTTTGAAGTGAACCTCCAGTTCTCCTGAATCTAATTATGTCTTTCATCACCCTGCTTTTCACCTTGCCCCCACACAAGCATCTGGAATTGTCAAGGTGATGGGAAGCCTGAAGCATAATCTTCAGCACAAGAGGCTCTGCTGTGAAGACCATCAGTTCATGCACAAGGAGCATTTACTCTTGGGCAGGAGAGGATTTTCTCAAAGCAGACACAGAGGGCTTCATGGCAGTCTTTCAGAAACCTGGTAGTGTCCTTACTAGGTTCCAAGAATCCATCTTCATCTCCACTTCAAGAGCATGAATGCAAGATGGTGAAACTCAGGCCTTGTAACAAAGCTGCCTGCCTGCAGTCAGGGACTGCAAATTGAGCTGCTGGCTCCCACCTGGCATTTCCTGCCTTGGCCTGAATCTCATTACTAATGAGCTTCATGAGTCCCAGGCTATGAGTGTATTGAGGAGCCAGTACTTTGAGCTCACAGTGGCGTGGGGTGCTTCTGTGGTGAGGCAGCTCCACTAGGACTTAGTACAGGACAGCCAAGTTGGCAAGAATAAGGGTGGTGCTAATACTGAGTCCTGGAGCTCAGGAAAGCTATTTTGAGTATTTTTAGGAAATAGCTGACCATACAAGAATGTCTAATTAGATTTGCTTTTCTGCAAGATCTCTTGACAAGTGGTTCAGACAAGCATGCGATTCTTTTAAGCAAATTTTAGGTCGAATTATGTCAGTAAAGATGCACATAGTAGTTCTTAGCACTTATATAGCATCTTTCATCTGAGGATTAAGCAGCACACAAGCTTGCGGAGCAAATGGAGATCTCTTATCTCCTAGAACTCGAAGGGACCTTGAAAGGTGATCAAGCCCAACCCCCTGCCTTCACTAGCAGGACCAAGTACTGATTTTGCCCCAGATCCCTAAGTGGTCCCCTCAAGGATTGAACTCACAACCCTGGGTTTAGCAGGCCAATGCTCAAACCACTGAGCAAAGTCTAAGTTCCTTTTATTATTCAAGGAAAACATTTCCCCCCAGAGTTTTAATAATGGAAAATAAATGTAATAATCTTAGTAGGAAGCTCAGGTTGGGTGACTGGGAAATAGCTCCCATGCTGGTTACTCCTGCAACAGCAGGTCTGGTGCTGATGAATGAGCAATGAGCAGAACTCTGCTCATTCATCTCATTTATTTTTTAAAAAACAAACAAACAAAAATTACAACACATAAGCAAACTAGTGCTCGCACCCCTGTGGCTCAAAAACTAAGCAACTCGTAATACGCCCCGGGGCAAAAACCTTCTCTTAACCTCCCAATCTTGAGATTCTTCCTGCAGCAGCCTTCTTTACGTACAAGAACTCTAGCTTTATTGCCCCCTTGTTAGGGTCAGGAATAGAGCATCCCAACTCCGGTGATCTCGACAGTGAGGATGAGGGGAACCATCCCACAGCCCCCTCCACTTGCCAAGTGAAAACTATAGGAGTGGTGAGTGAAAAGGTAGTGAAGGATTGAAGGAAAAGATTGAAGAGGACAGAACTAAGAGGGATAGAGAAGTAGGGATATGGGGAAGATAGGCAATGAGGAAGGAAAAGATTGAAAGGAAAAAGGAAGAGCAAACCATTCAGACAAAGAAAAGATGGGAACAGGAATGGAAGAAGAGAATGAAAGACCAATGTTTTCCAATAATATTTATAGATTGCTATAGGTGTACCTGTCATTTTGAAACACATTAAAGCAAGGCCCTTGCCTGGAAGTTTACAGTTGAAAAGTATGTGGGTAATAATTCAAAAGCAAAAAGGCAGTTCACACATGGTCATTGAGGATTGTGCACTGAATTATAACTCATGTAAAACTGATACCAGGTGCTGTAAAGTGGTAGGCACTTTTTAGCATACATAAAGTACATTATTGGTACTAAATAAGTGTTGCAGTACAGAAGGGCAGGGTTAAGACTGCAATGTGAAAGCATTGTTTTGGTATAATTAAGTGTGTTAGTTAACCCTAAATTTCTAACACTATTCATTGACAATCTTCACTGCTAATTGTTTGGAAATAAGTATGCTTTTAGTTTCCACAAAGTTTTGTTTGAAATTTGTTTTATTTATGTTCAAATTAATGGGGACAGGATGAGGAGGAGAAGTGTGTCTTCACTGCATTGTTAGTTTGGGGCACAACTCAAGTGATACCCTAATTCAGCTCTTGTTTACACAAAAATTTCTAGCCTAGGGTAACTAGGGCTTTGAATTTGAAGTAGCTAGCTCATCAAGGGAGGTGGGCTGGAGCTCAAGGGGTGCTGAAGCTCAAGCTACTATTGCAGTGGGGACTCAGTTTGAGAACTGTTAAGCTATCCCCTGCAGAAATGACTGATCTAAAGCTCAATCCCTATTTGAAAGTCTGAAGTGAGTAAAAACTTTATGTTCTAGGGACAGGTTATTCCCAGACTCTTTACCAGGATCCTCCTTCAACCCTCTTTTTCAGCAGAATTCCCTAATCATGACTGCATTGCAGAACTTTAGAAGGGAATGAAATGCTGCAGTGGACACACGGATACCTGTAACCCCTGCTCTTTCAATAGTGATGCAAGACTGAAGCAGTATTTTATCAGTTTGTTTCTACAGTAGGGAAAATTCTTTGGCATCTGTTTATTTTGACAGATCTCTGCTACCCACAAAAGCCAGATAATAAAGAATAAGCCACCTGGAGACATTCCAGGGAGTGTCAGTAGAGAATCCTTTTAAAGTTCAGCAAAAACTTTTACTATTATGTAACAGGGCATCAATGGGGTGAATTTTTATCTAACTATTCTAAGCTCTCTAAATTAAGCTATTTGTCCCCACTACTAAACTGCAGGGAAAGTTAAGCCTTTTCAAATTTAAAGTCACTAGCTTTATATAGTCTTGGTATCAGATACAACCAGAATGAGAACTGGACATCCATTTTTACTTAGCTTTATGTAAATTAAGTGAATCAACAAACAACAACAAAGTGGACCAGGAAAAATAGTCACAGTAATGTTTGCATGCAGTACTATTTAGATATTAATTAGTGAACAAATATTACATTTAGTATTACTTTATTTTGACCAATATAATCTGAAAGTTCACATATACATTTATTTCAGATGTACGCTCCTGATCTCAGTTACATTTCTAATAAGACCATACATACTTTGTTCTTGATTTATGGATTTTGAGCCAGCAACTCCCCCAGAAACATAGTTTTGAAGAATATTTAATTTTCCAGATTCTTTGCCATCACTCATTGGAATATCCTGGGAAGATGAATTGGATGCCTATGAGAGAATTAAGAGAGAGTTCAAAATGTACTCTGATCAGTTAATCTGTGCAATGTTCTATACATTGTATTTATCTAACAGAAAAAGGGAATTGCAACAGTGGGTTATTTCAGTCTATACAGGCTGGACCTGCAAGGAGGAAGTAGATTTGATCCATACTGTGGTCAACTAAAGTAAATTCTACATAAGCAGGCACTTTACTTAGTAGCAAGTACTGCTGAAAGAAATCAAGTGAGGGGCAATATGACTGTGGCCCAGATTCCCGCCTCCTGTTCCAGGAAGTTAGCACCACCTGAGTGGTGCTAAGTGGCAGATCAAGCCCTAGCTGGCCAGCTGAGAATTCCCCCAGCACAGGGGAGATCAGCTTGTGCAAAGTGTTTTACTGGCTCCTAAAACTGCTACCCCACCCCAGAGTAAGGGGCAGGGTGGAGCACACCTTCATTTATAGCTGAGTATGTTCCTCTAGAGGTCATAAACTGGCATAAGATAAAGCAGCCCCAATGTTGGGCTGGGGCTTTCACAAATGCACCATGAGAGTAGGGTTATCAGACAGCAAGTGTGAAAAATCAGGATGGAGGCGGGGGGTAATAGGAGCCTATATAAGAAAAAGACCCAAAAAATCAGGACTGTCCCTATAAAATCGGAACATCTGATCACCTTACATGAGAGTCAGAGAAGGTGTTACTGGCCCTACACCAGGCTCGGTGCAGAAGAGCAAGAGAGCCTCTCTTTGTGCAATGGAGACTCTGGGCTGGAGAGTCCAAGAACAAAATGGCAGCACAGAAGAGGGACAATATATTTAGCTGTGATGCTGGGAGTTCCTTTCCCAGACCTGAAGAAACGCTCTCTGTGGCATGTTGTCTCGCTCACCAACAGAAGTGGGTCCAATAAAAGATATTACCTCACCCACTTTGTGTCTCTAATATGCAGGGACTGACATGGCTACGACTACATTCCGTAGCACGGAAGAGGTGCATTTTAAGTCTTCTCACTGGAGAAACTTCAGAAAGTAAAAGCTTTTGAAAGTTTGGGTGAATCAACTGCACCTAGACCTGTTTGGAAGCATGTTTGTCTAACTATCTAGACAAGTTGGGAGAGGTTAAGCTGTGACATCAAGTCCAACTCCAAGGGAACTATAGAATTCAGCATGACAGTTGAGGGCCCCCATCTGGAGACTCCTCAAGGGTGGATTAGCCAAATTCAGGGTTTATTAATTAAATCATTTATCCCTCAAAGAAACTGCTGAAGGAATTCTCCATAGTTATCTTTTAATCAAAAGATAAAATCATGTGGGGAGAGGGGGAAAAAAGCCAGGCCTCACCTCATACCATCTTTACTGTACCATACAGCTGACAAGAGTTTAGTATGATATTTCCAGAGAAGGAAGCAAAAAGAAGAACTAATGAAGATGCTGTGATTATATTACAGGGTAATCTTTACCTTCTGAAAGTCAAAGTGATCCTGGCAGTTTTATACTTTCAGCAACTATGTTAGAGGATATGTATTAAAGAAAGACAGTTAAGCTAGTGATTCCGTCAGCTGCAAAGCTTTTCCTTTCATATTTTGGCATAGAAAGCGCAATCCAACTCCTATTAAAGGCAATTAAGTCACTATTTGATTATGGGAATTAGATTAGACCCATACGGAACCACTGAAATGCTAATCAAGCTCAACCAACATTTCCAGAAAACAGAAAACAGAAAACCTTGCTTCAGTGTTATATGAATACAAGCCTGAAGTGTTGCGATACTAGGTCTACTTATTTTGAAGGACAGAAGGTTAGTTATATGAAGATACTTGAGAAATCTATTTGGAGATAAATTAGCATAAATAATGACAGTTCACCTCTGTGGCAATGTGAGTAGGCTGGCTGATAGAAGGCTGGCATGTCTTTGGAATATTTTGAGGCCTTTGCTGTACTGGTGTGGAGTGCAGTGGAGATATAACTGTGATTATACCTGAGTGGAAGGGGGGAAAAAGGGAAATTAAATGTGCAACTTCCCGTAATATACAGAGTCAACAAATCCGTAACCTATACTCAAAATTAGCTCAACAATATTTTAAGACACAGAACAGCCAAATGTACATTCCAGCTAGATACTTTTTTTGGGACAGTCATCTATTTTTAGTTGGCTTCCTAGCTGGTTAATCAGCTAGCAGGCTCATTCAGTTTTATACCAGAGCTGAGGAAGGATAATAAACTTTCAGATTTTTTGGGGGGGATGTCGTTAAATATTTGCAAGATAGCTTTAAGGTAAGAGATATTTAATATTCTTTCCTTTCAACCCAGCTTTACCAATGCAGCATTATGTCCTTTTAGCCCAATCTTGAGTCACTTTTTATAGTCCCATTGCTCTTTTCTAGTTTGCTATTTGAGAGTAGTAAAATGACACTTTCTAAAACCACAGTATCTGAAATGTTCGTAGACTGCATTTCAGCAACCAGAGTTCTGCTAAGTGTTGCCTGACCCCCATGACAGAACAAAGGGTGCTCAACACTACACATGTAAACTATTGCAGGGTCTCTAACCTAACACTTCCCCCATCCCACCTCCCAGCAAATTCCAAAAACACAAAACAGGAATTCTAGACAAGACAAATACCAATTTTCTTCTCCTGCTAGAATGACAGTCTCATGTCAATAATAGCCATTTCATTTTCTGGTGTAAAGATTTTACCTGAAGAAGGCGACAGCATGCTTTGTTCAGGTAGTTTAAGTGGACTACGGTGCAAAAGCTGAGGCCACTGTAGTATTTTATGAGAAGGCTGGGTTTCTGATGATCTTTGATTTTGCAAGCTACTAGTAAAAGAAAATGAGGTCTGCACTTCAGGAATAGCATTCCAGGATGTTTTTTGTAAAGACAGTGGTATTTGCTGCAGGAAGATTTAAATGTAATTAATTTTTGATATTTACCTTGCATTTGATAAAGTTAAGACTTTATACCTCTTCAAGTTTTTCCCCTTTCCACCTGGGCATTTGAAAGTGATTTACTCCACTTAAAAATACAGTACAAATACGATCTGATGTCACTGGTGCCTATAATATGTTAGGAATTCTATAGGTTTGACAGCAGAAAAATGTACCCATTTAAATTAACAATGATGCACAATTTAAACTGAAGTGGCATTAACTCCTGCTGTCTGGTAGATACTTTGATAAATACACTACATTCTGACTCAGATACCAAGTATACTACAGAGGAAGTTGTAGAGACATCAAGACAAATTAAATTTAAGACCCAGCCTGGTGGCATAGGAGTAGCATTCTGCAAGTCTTAGTTTTCCGAGGGAGAGGCCGAGATATATCAGTAGCATGGATCTCACTGTGGAGACACTTGAGCGCTTATCTTGCCAAGGCTACTCACAGTGAATCAAGTTAAGCATATGCTTAAGTCTTTGCAGGATCAGAGCCTGAGTGAAAGGCATATTCTAAGAAGAGGTCTTGCATAATCCCTCTATAATGGAGGGTGAACAAACAGCCATTGAATAAAGAAGGCCAGTTAAGTTTGCCATCTGATTTTTCTATGTGGCTAAGTGCTCTGCTCTGAAAGGAGGAGCAGTATATTTGAAGCACAGGACAGGTACTCAAACTCTTCCAGGAAGGGGGAGGGGGAAGGGAATTGAGTCCAGCGTGGGCAAACTGATGTGGAAGTTTTCTTGTAAAAGTACTTTGAAATACTAGCTGCCGCCTCTCCTCCCCGCCACACCTCCCATTGGGGATCTTTCAGAGTACATTCTGAAGGATGAGCATGGGCAATGGGAGGGTCACAGGCAAGCAGCTGCACTGGTATATAAGATGGGTATTCACAGGAGTGGAATAGGTGGTGTGGTTTGTTTATTGGAAAAAGAGAGCTAAAGAGTTCTATATATTTAGTTTCATGTTAGGCTAGTTCCTCTTAAATCTTGCTCATTGTTCAGATGATGCTGTAATGTTTTGGATACTTCCTACATCTGTCACTATATCTGAACTAATATTTTACTCGAAGATTTGTATGCTTATAGCTAAGAGGCAACCTTAGTGTGCTTAGCATGGTTTATTAGGTTGATTCACTTTAATATGTGAAGGGTGAGACTGTGTTAAAGACACTTAAAAAATAAACCTTGTTAACCATTTTTAGGTAATTGTTGCCTCCATATTTTTCCCCAGACCCTGTTTCCCCCTGTCTGTAGTGAAGGAAGAGGATCCCCAAATGCTGCTCCCACCCCAGCAGCTGGGCTAGGTCTAGCCAGAGTGTTCCAGCAATATGCGGAACGTTGAACTTCTGCAGCAAACAAACTTTGTTCCACCCTATGAGCGAGGTAAACAAAATTAGAATCTAGTTAAATGTTCAAGATTTTAGTATCAAACAACAGAGAACAAAGCAATTCAAGTGATTTCAGCAAACAACACTACGCAGTGAATGACAAACCTTTTAATCTAGATCTAAGGTTATATGCATTCTAACAGAAGAGAAATGTTAATTTACCTCCATTTGTTCTTTAGAAGTCACACCATTCTGTCTGGTTCCATTTGGCTTTGAGCCTATTTCTGTAATCATCAATAAAGTAAGTGAGAAACTCCGGTTTCACATCTGTTGTACGATTCACATCAGGACATTTTTATCTGTATTGTAGTAGCACCTAGAGGACCAAGACCCATTGTTGTGGGAACTGAACGGACGTCCCTGTCCCAGAGAGCTTACTCCTGTTCAGTGGTGTTACACACATGCTTAACTTTGTGAAGTCAATGGGACTCAATGCTTAGAATTAGGCACACATATAGGGCCCTAATGGGATTTATACCTTAGCTGCCATTGCCACTTTAATGTAAATTTTTGTTTTGTATAAGTGTAAAGAAACCACAGACTAAGGGTGGGATTCAGTGAGCAGCACAGATCTTCCAGCCTAAGCAGAGATGAGGCTATGGTATTTTGGCATGCTCCAGTGGCTGGAACAGCACCCAATATAACTTAAAGCAGCCCTAGACAGCTAGCAGCCTCAAGTACATACCCATCCAAGACCATAGGCACATAGTCAGGGCAGGTAGCCCCTCCTGCTACCACAGGAATGCTCTATTTTTAGTGTGCTAGCTCAATCAGCTATCACCTTTATGTCTCCTCGAGCTAGAAGTTACATCTCCAGCTCAAAGTGTAGACATACCCTTAGAGTATCCATTAACTACATCTATATTTTTATTTCTGATGAAATGGTATATTACAAAAAGTGACTAAATTAAAATTGGTGTACATGGCTTTCAGAATAGATATTTTAAAATCAATGGCAGCATATAAAATATTTAAAGTGAAAGGCAGCTGTATTTCTAACTGAAAACTTGCCGGACCAGTGGACTGCATGTCAGTTTTCAATTAACAGCATGATTTCAAGTTCAAAATACATTCTGTATGTTTTTAGACTACTTCTATTTTTACTTAAAGATTGTCATTCAGTACATGTGAAATGATTAGACATTTGAAGTAGTGACAGATGGCTCAGTAAAACAAAATTTCTAAACTTCTGTCTTGCAATTTAAACTTAAGTATCAGCTTAGTGGCATTCCCAGACCAATTAGAGTCAACACCACCTTGAGATGAACTAACGCCTATATAAAACTGGCTGAAATGTTATGCTGGTCATGAAAATTAATTCCAGCGACAAGAGAAAAAATCCTTTACACCAAAGAATATGCTTCCATCTTCCAGGCAACTATTGTAGAGCCCAGAAAGTTTCAAAAATTCTGAGCTTGAGGTTCTGGTTTTAACACTTAGACCAGGGATAGGCAGGCTATGGCGGCACATGAGCTGATTTTCAGTGGCACTCACACTGCCTGGGTCCTGGCCACCAGTCCGGGGGGCTCTGCATTTTAATTTAATTTTAAATGAAGCTTCTTAAACATTTTAAAAACCTTATTTAGTTTACATACAACAATAGTTTAGTTATATATTATAGACTTATAGAAAGAGACCTTCTAAAAACGTTAAAATGTATGACTGGCACGCGAAACCTTAAATTAGAGTGAATAAATGAAGACTCGGCACATCACTTCTGAAAGGTTGCCGACCCCTGACTTAGACAGACATCAACTCTTCAGTGCTGGATATTGTGGTCACTGATAGGGTGACCAGACGTCCTGTTTTTAAAGGGACAGTCTCGCATTTAAGCCCTCCTGCAGATGTCCCGACTTTTTCTTTAGAATGGGCAAATTGTCCCATATTTTCTGTCTCCCCCCCACCAGTACTGGTGGGTCTTGCTGCTGGCCAGATCCCTACTCGCCAGCTGCCCTCCCACCAGCTGAGTGGGAGGGTCCAGTGACCAATGATGGGGGCAGGTGTACAAGGCTGGTGGCGGGGTGAAGCTGCTGGTCCATGAGCGCAGCCCCTGCTGCATGCCGGCTCTCAGCCAGCAGGGCCTCACCCCCTGTCCCTCTTCTGGCCAGCGCAGGCTGCAATGTGCGGCCGCTGGTGCGTGCAGGGAGCGGCCAGTTACGTGTCGCCTCTATTGCCCACTCATCAGCCCTTTATGTGTTCCCCCTCTCGCTGTCCTCTCCCTGCTTTGTCCCTTCACCCCCTCCAGCCCTGCTGCTGCTCCATATTCCTCCCCTCCCCCCCAGCCAGGCAGAGAACTAGCCCCTGGTTGGAATGCTCAGCTTACCAACAACCTGGCTGGCAGGCTCCTTCCTTCCCCCACTGCCTCTGGCTGGGCCAGCACCCCAGGAAAGCCCAAGACCCTTTGGCCCAGGGTGCTGGCCAGTAGGAACCAAGCTCTGTGTGTGCCAAAGCCCCGTACAGTGCTGGCCCAGGGAAGCCTCTCTGCCCCTCAGCTAAGCTTTGGAGAGGTGGGGAGCAATTTCCAACCTGTTCACACCCCGACCCTGCAGGCTCCACAGCAGCCTCCACCCCCCCAGGCAGGGGCTTACCATCCTTTTCTCACACACCCCCACCCTGGTTCCTGCCCCACCCCCCAAGGAGCATGGGGCTGCTCCATCCCCTAGGCAACTCTGCTGCTGAGCCACCTCTCTGGCCAGGCTCGCTGAAGCTCCTGCAGCCAGGTTCCCTGGGCCCTGGTGCACAATGCATCCTTAGGGCTTAACCCCTTCCTGCCTGTGCTGTGGCCATGGGACAGGAAACAGCTGGGTTTTGTCAGCAGCCATTAGCTGCCTTTGAACACTATAGGGGCAGGAAGGGACAAGCTGCTTCCAGCCACAGAGGGGGTGGGAAGGGGGGGGGGGAAATAGATGAGCTCTGCAAAGACACAGGCCAGGTCATCCCTTCCTTTCCCCTCTGGCTGGAAGCAGCTCCTGTCCCTTCCCTCCTGCACAGAGCTGAAAGGCTGCTGCTAGACACATTCTGGTGTGAACGCTGGCAGAAATCTGAGGGGGCCATGTGATCCTATGTGCCCCCTCCCATGTGTTGCCTTGGGAAGGCGCAGCACCAGGTGAGGCGGGCCAGGCATGAAAGACAGTGCGCCAGGCAGGGAGGGTTGGGTTGGTCAGTCACCCCCCCATCGAGTGGATGAGAGTGAGTGTGAGACAGCTCTCCCCATGTGAACCCTAAAGCCTTAAAGATAAGAAGGCAAATAAAAAGAATCCAACTATGCAGTATTTCTTTTTAATAGGGGCTCAGTCAACTTGATGTTAATTTGAACGTTTGTACTGCATAGTTCTGACTGATTGCTGTTGAACTTGCTTGAATACGAGTAATTTTACCAGGTGTGCTGTATTCAGCATAGGGAAATATGGTCATCCTAGTAATTGATTGTTCAGTAAACTGCAAGGGTGAGCATTTTATGCAAGAGAGTATATCAGTCCTTCAGAGGATCTCATTATGTATGGCAGCTTTATCTGCAATTTGAATAATTTTAAGTTTGTTCCCCAAAATCAGTGTACAGAGAGTCTAAGACAAGAGCCACCCTGGAAAAATGAGCTAGGTTAATGACTACTTAAACCCTCTTCTATACTAGATGCTAAAACACATTATTGGGAAAAAGATTATTTTCCCAGTGTAAACAGGGCCTAAATATTGAGCTATACTTTAATTAGAGTTTGAAACAGCCCCACTATATACATTTATATTGAACAGTTTGAAAAAGTTCAAAGGAATAATACAGGATACTAAGTCTCATTCCTCTCCTCCCACGCAGATATGCACCTCATGCATACAGTAGTCAAAGACACTCTCAATCTTTCAGCAGTCTGGGATTGTTTTCAATCCAGACTGCACTGCGAATTGCATTTCAGAATGGAACACTGTAAAAACAATTTCAATTAACTCCAACTTTGTTTTTTTGGGGGAAAATATCAGTTTGAAGTATGATCATTAGAAATGCTATTGGTAAGAGTTTTGGTACTACACTTGCCCTCATCCCTCCCATACAATTTATTTTTCTATTTCTTAAAAAGAGTTTTGCTGCTAGGTTGTAGGCCTACACACAAACAAAATATTTCTATAGTCATCTCATTATAGTAATCATGTTGTTACAAACATTTAGGCAACACAGTTTTTAGACAACTATCAATTAGATGAAAGTATGCTTTTAAAAGAAGAGCTTAATACCTTTAAGTAATCTAGCATATAGTTTATGACACGCTCCAGTACAGACACTTACATTTTGCTACTGGAAGTTTTCATTCCCAATTTCAGTTTGCCACACCAAAAAAAAAAAAGAAAAAAACCAGGTACTTTTCTAGAGAAGTTTTATCTGTAAAAAGAGTTTCAGTATTTCTATTTCATAGCATTTGACTAGACTATGGCACCCTGGAACATATAGCAACTCCGTAGGCCTAGAAGTATGCAAACTGAAGCTTCTTTTGTAAATTCTGAAGCATCAGGTCCTGTATATCAAGAGGCAGATGCTATACAATGAGGTTATCTGACCTGATTCAGAGTCATTGGTATCTGAAGAGCTAGAATCACTGCTAGTGCTGCTGCTGCTGCTAGCGTCTGAGGAGGAGCTGCTGCTGCTACTCTCACTCAATCGCCTTGGTCCACCAATAATCTTTGGTATAGTGTTATTTTCAGCTGCAAGATAAAAAAAAAGGAAGTTAAGTATATATAGCACTGAAAGTCTTATGAATATATACATTAAGTAGGGCTGTGAAGTGATAAAAAGTTAATCGTGGTTAATCGCACTGTTAATAATAGAATACCATTTATTTAATTTTTGGATGTTTTCTACATTTTCAAATATTGATTTCAATTACAACAGAATACAAAGTATACAGTGCTCACTTTATATTTATTTTGATTAAAAGTATTTGCACTATAAAAAAATAAATATTTTGCAATTCACTTATTACAAGTACTGTAGTGCAATCTCTATCATGAAAGTTGAATTTACAAATGTAGAATTACGTACAAAATAAACTGCATTCAAAAATAAAACAATGTAAAATTTGAGAGCCCACAAGTCCACTCAGTCTTACTTCTTGTTCAGCCAATTGCTCAGACAAAAAAGTTTGTTTACATTTGCAGGAAATAATGTTGCCTGCTTCTTGTTTACAATGTCACATGACAGTGAGAACAGGCATTCATGGTACTGTCATAGCCAGCGTCGCAAGATATTTACGTACGAGATGTGCTAAAGATTCATATGCCCCTTCATGCTTCAACCACCATTCCAGGGCACATGCATCCATGCTGATGATGGGTTCTACTCAACAATCCAAAGCAGTGCGGACCGACGCATGGTCATTTTCATTATCTGAGTCAGATGCCACCAGCAGAAGGTGGATTTTCTTTTCTGGTGGTTCGGGTTCTGTAGTTTCCGCATCGGAGTGTTGCTCTTTTAAGACTTCTGACAGCATGTTCCACACCCCGTCCCAATCAGATTTTGGAAGGCAGTTCAGATTCTTAAATCTTGGGTCAAGTGCTGTAGCTATCTTTAGAAATCTCACATTGGTAGCTTCTTTGTGTTCTGTCAAATCTGAAGGGAAAGTGTTCTTAAAATGAACCACATGTGCTGGGTCATCATCCGAGATGGCTATAACATGAAATGTATGGCAGAAAGTGGCTAAAACAGAGCAAGGGACATACAATTCTCCCCCAAGGAGTTCAATCACAAATTTAATTAATGCATTTTTTTTTTAAACTAGCGTCAGCAACATGGAAACATGTTCTCTGGAATGGTGGCCAAAGCACAAAGAGGCAAACGAATGTTTAGCATATCTGGCACGTAAATACTTTTGAAACCAGCGTTGCAAGGTAGGAGCGTTGCCAGCAGATCGAGGGAAGTGATTATTCCCCTCTATTCGGCACTGGTGAGGCCACATCGGGAGTATTGCATCCAGTTTTGCCCCCCCCCCCCACTATAGAAAGGATCTGGACAAATTGGAGAGAGTACATCAGAGGGCAACAAAATGATTAAGAGGCTGGGGCACATGACTTATGAGGAGAGGCTGGGAGAACTGGGCTTATTTAGTCTGCAGAAGAGGAAGAGTGGGGGGGGGGGGATTTGATAGCAGCCTTCAACTACCTGAAGGGGGGTTCCAAAGAGGATGGATCTAGACTGTTCTCAGTGGTACCAGATGACAGAACAAGGAGCAATGGTGTCAAGTTGCAGTGGGGGAGGTCTAGGTTGGATAGTAGGAAAAACTATTTCATTAGGAGGGTGATGAAGCACTGGAATGGGTTACCTAGGGAGGTGGTGGAATCTCCAACCTTAAACGTTTTTAAGGCCCGGCTTGACAGAGCCTGGTTGGTATAATTTAGTTGGGGTTGGTCCTGCTTTGAGCAGGGGCTTGTACTAGATGACCTCCTGAGGTCTCTTCCAACTCTAATCTTCTATGATTCTAAGAAGAGGGCCGCATTATCTCCTATAAATGTAAACAAAACTTGTTTGTCTTAGTGCTTGGCTGAACGAGGAAGACTGAGTAGACTTGTAGGCTCTGAAGTTTTATATTGTTTTGTTTCTGTACACTTTTTGATTTCATTTACAACACAGAATACAATATATATGAAAGTGTAGAAAAACATGCAAAATATTTAATAAATTTCAATTGGTATTCTATTTTTTAAACTGCAATTAAAATTGCGATTAATCATGATTACTAAAAAAAAAAAGAATTGAGAGAGTCAACTGTGATTAATTGACAGCCCTAGTGTTAAGATTAATAAAGCCACACTCAGATGCGCTCCATCTGCATGACTGCCAAGACTACCTTTGCTAAATCTCTGTCCCCTATTCACAAGGACGACAACATGTACCTGCCATTGTTTGGGTGCACCCTGGCCTGTTGGAGTCTAACTGAGACCTTTTTAATACCAAAAGAGATTTTTGCTACCCTAAAGAGAAGATAAACAATTTAACTCAGTGGAGATTAAGATTTGGAGAGAGTTCCACAACAGTCCTTGTTTTTGCAGGCTAAAGCTCCAGAATAGCTAATTTAAGAAGAAAGTCTCTAAGGTGCCACAAGGACTCCTCGTTCTAACAAATTTATTTGGGCATAAGCTTTCGTGGGCTAGAACCCACTTCATCAGATGCATGGAGTGGAAAATACGGGAACAGGTATAAATAAATATATATATGAAAGGATGGGGGTTGCTTTACCAAGTGTGAGGTCAGTCTAACGAGATAAATCAATTAACAGCGGGATACCAAGGGAGGAAAAATAACTTTTGAAGTGGTAAGAGTGTAGCCCATTACAGACAGTTGACAAGAAGAAAGCTGCAACTAAGGGTACATCTATACTTACCTCCGGGTCCGGCAGTAAGCAATCGATCTTCTGGGATCGATTTATCGCGTCTTGTCTAGACGCGGTAAATTGATCCCGGAAGTGCTCGCCGTCGACGCCGGTACTCCTGCTCGGCGAGAGGAGTACATGGAGTCGACGGGGGAGCCTGCCTGCCGCGTGTGGACCCGCGGTAAGTTCGAACTAAGATAGTTCGACTTCAGCTAAGTGAATAACGTAGCTGAAGTTGCATATCTTAGTTCGAAGTGGGGGGTTAGTGTGGACCAGCCCAAACTGTTAGATATGGGACCATTAGTACCAGTTTTGGGGAGATAAATATGCCTACATACATAAGATACCACAAACAAAAGCATGAATACGCCCTGAAGATAGATGTGAGAGATGTACATTTCTATTATGGAGATTATTGCACCTCTCTCTGAAGCATTTGGTACTGGTGCCAGAAACAGAATACTGGATAAGACGGACCACTGATCCAGTCTGGTATGGCAATTCAGATGTTCCTAAATTTGTAATAGTGGCAGTTCCTGGTCAGAAAGCACATCAAGATGCATAATAAAATAGCCAGCCACGCAAACAGTTCCACTTCAGATATTTGTTCTTTCTTCCACAAGTCTATGCAGAGAGCACATCTAAAAATATTGAAGTGGTGCTAAAAATACATTAGTTGGAACAGAATTGACAACTCTTTATCCTCCCTTCCCCCCGCCCCCCCCCCAAACCAAACCGTAACCTAATTCAGTTTTTTCCTCCACCCTTAACTCAGGAATTAAAATGGAAGTATTTTGCACTTTCCAAAGTGAATGCAGATAGAAAATTTACTTTAATGGTCCTTTACTGTTTCCTGGGACAGGGAGAAAATCCTATCAGGTATTTCATGGTTCCTCCTCCTCCCCCTGAGTTCAGTAGCATTTTTCCAAAATGCAGGATTCAGAGCATGGATTGATTTTCTACTGTAGCCACCCAACATGAAGTCTTTCCCTACAGAATCCAGGGGAATCAAGATTTAGATTGAACTTGAGAACTAAGTGAAGTCAAGCCTCAGTTCTTATTCTACCACTCTCTTTAATTGCTGCCATGCTCAGTAAATCTGTCTTGTTTGTGTCTCCCTGTTGGAGACAAGTCCCCAGACTTTCCTGTTTAGTGTCCAATGCAGAGAAAATGAGCTATGTAGAGCTTCAGTTGTGATATCTGTCTATTTTGTGGGACTTATAGTTTGCAATGCAAGCAGCACACAAAAGGAATGTTAAATGGGAAAATGGCATTTTACATTATCTAAAAATCAGGGTCTAGGGATGTAGAAGCATAACTGTGTATACTGATTTTTTGCTTCTGTTGTAGCTGACTTTCTAGAAAAGAGTCTGATAGTAAGGATTGAGTCACTATGAGCAATGATAGGCACACATTACTCACCCTGTGCCACTGCTGGGGCAGGAGGGTTTTTATAATTTCTCCACCATCCCAAGTCGGCTATACGGTCATGGTTTACCTACCCTTATAAGAGATCCATCTCAAGGTGAGCCAGGAGAGAGAATCTACTGGACTAGAACAGGCATCATCTCTGGCTCCACTGGAAAATGTAGACCTGATAATGTGTGCATAGAAGGTTCTGAAGACTAGGGTATAGGCTTGGTATCAATCCATATGGTGTAGAAGTTCCACATTGGTTATGCTAGGATAATGCCTCAAAACTGTAAAGAAGCAGTGCTATCTTTATCACACTACTATAAAAACCATCAGTAAAAGTTGATAGATCTATCCAGAGGTACCCCCCCCCGCACCCCTATCTGAAGTCACTGGAAGCTCCAGTAGTTCTGAGCAAGGAAGTGCCGAGCAAAAGTTTCTTGACTCATGCCTTGAAGTGCGCTTTACTGGATATTTAGGGGTCTCATCTTAAGAGCAGAACTTCAATAGAGTTTTACCCCAATGGGCCAAGGTAGCAGACGCCTGAATTAGGGCTGTCGATTAATCGCAGTTAACTCATGCTATTAACTCAAAAAAATTAATCACGATTAATCAGTTTTAATCATACTGTTCAACAATAGAATACCAACTGAAATTTATTAAATATTTTGGAAGTTTTTCCTACATTAATATTTATGGTATTGTGTTGTAATGGAAATCAAATGTACATTATTATTACAAATATTTGCACTGTAAAAGTGATAAAGTATTTTTTAGGGCTGTCAAGCAATTCAAAAAATTAATCATGATTAATCACACTGCTAAACAGAATGCCATTTAAATTTTTTGATGTTTTCTACAACGTAAAACTTTAGAGCCTACAAGTCCACTCAGTCCACTCAGTCCTACTTCTTTTTCAGCCACTCAGACAAAAAAGTTTGTTTACATTTGCAGAAGATAATGCTGCCTGCTTCTCATTTACAATGTTACTCGAAAGGGAGAACAGATGTTTGCCACAAGATATTTACATGCCAGATGCGTTAAGATTATGTCCCTTGCTGCTTCAACCACCATTCCAGAGGACATGCGTCCATGCTGATGACGGGTTCTGTTCAATAATGATCCAAAGCAGTGTGGACCGACGCATGTTCATTTTCATAATATGAATCAGATGCCACCTGCAGAAGGTTGCTTTTCCTTTTTGGTGGTTAGGGTTCTGTAGTTTCCGCATCTGAGCGTTGCTCTTTTAAGACTTCTGAAAGCATTCTCCATACCTCATCCCTCTCAGATTTTGGAAGGCACTTCAGATTCTTAAAACTTGGGTCCAGTGCTGTAGCTATTTTTAGAAATCTCACATTGGTGCCTTCTTTGTGTTTTGATAAAATGTGCAGTGAAAGTGTTCTTAAAAGGAAGTACATGTGCTGGGTCATCAACCGAGACTGCTATAACATGATATATATGGCAGAATGAGGGTAAAACAGAGCAGGAGACATACAATTCTCCCCTAAGGAGTACAGTCACAAATTTAATTAACCCACTATTTTTTTTTAAACAAGCGTCATCAGCATGGAAACATGTCCTCTGGAACGATGGCCAAAGCATGAAGAGGCATGTGAATCTTTAGCGCATCTGGCACATAAATATCTTCCAACGCCAGCTACAACAGTGCCATGCAAATGCCTGTTCTCACTTTCAGGTGATGCAAGAAAGAAGTGGGCAGCATTACCTCCTGTAAATGTAAACAAACTTGTTTCTCTTAGCGATTGGCTGAACAAGAAGTAGGACTGAGTGAACTTGCAGGCTCTAAGATTTTAGATAGTTTTATTTTTGAAGGCCGTTTTTTTGCACATAATTCTACATTTGTAAGTTAAACTTTCGTGATAAAAAGATTGCACTACAGTACTTGTATTAGGTGAATTGAAAAATAATATTTCAGGTTTTTTTTACAGTGCAAATACTTGTAAATCAAAAATAAAAAGTGAGCACTGTACACTTTGTATTCTGTGTTGTAATTGAAATCAATATTTGAAAATGTAGGAAACATCCAAAAATATTTAAATAAATGGTATTCTATTATTGTTTAATCGCGCAATTAATCATGATTAATTTTTTTAATCGCTTGACAGCCCTAGCCTGAATGCATCTGGTCACATCCTTCATAACTGACATAGCTTAGTACTTTGAAGGGATCAGAGCACAACTCCAACAGAATCCAGCAGTGGGAGTTGGAGAGGCTGGCATTGATGCAGATTCTTAGGTTTGGTCTATACTACCAATTTAGTAGTCCACACCCCTGGCTGACGTAGTTACACTGACCTAACTCTCGGCCTAGACAATGCTACATCAATGGGAGGGCTTCTCCCATCGACATACTCCACCTCCCCAAGAGGCAATAACTAACTAGACCAACTGGAGAAGCTCTCCCGTCAGTGTAGGTAGGGTCTTCACAAAGCACTACAGTGGTGGTGCTGCAGTGCTGTAATTGTAGACGAGCCCTTACCCAAACAATGACCCCTGACCAATGCATTCCAGAAGTATTAGACCCTCTGTGCTGAATTACTGTTGAATTTAATCTGTTGACACTATAGTTCAAGAGAGCCTTATGTCACTCTCCCGGGACCCCACTGCTCCGAGACTGCTGGGTGCAACCAGTGACCAAGAAAATTTCTTATGGACCATTTTTAACTACATACTTTTTGCAGGCACTTGGCTGTGTCTTTACCATCTGAAAGAAGATATGAAGGAGATGGAAAAGAACCAATTCAGTATGCACACCACCACACCAGAATAGGATTTGAAAAAGAGGAACATGGTTAAGTGAAACTTTTTCTGAAGCATTTGCTATTAGCCATTGTCAGATGCAGGATGCCACATAAAATATAGACCTTTGCTTTGGTGCAACTGGCAATTCCTATGGTCTGCCTGGCACCCCACATTACTTGAGAGATGCTAACCCCACGAGGCACAAGATAGCTTTTGTTAATATTTTTAGAAAATGTTACAGAAAAGGTTCTATAACAGATAAAGTCTGGGACAGAAGGAAAAAAAAATAGTTGACCAACAAAATTGCTGTTGTGGTGTAATTGAGGCAATATAGGAGAGATCTTCCACTCTTGCAGGTTAGAAAAGTGACGGCTGGCAACTTTTAGTGCCTCTAATATTCTAAAAGGAAGAAATCCCACCAGAGTACAGACCTCAGGAGGAAATCTCATTATAAAGAACAGAGCAGTACAACTAATGGTCACATTACATTTGGTGTTTTGCTTTTTAGGGTTTAACTGCCCATTGACATCCAGCAGCCTCTTTTCCAACTCTTGTTTTTTCTGAGAATTAAGTTCTTCTTTTGACTTCACTGGTTTCTTAGCTGTATATGAAATAAAGAGAGACATTAAGAGCTACATCCAAACCCAAAATAGATTCTGGCTAAACATATTGTGTAGAGTTTATCCATGATATATACACACCATGTTTTCTTGGTCTTTTCCTTAAACAAGCCATCACATATTTCTCTAGTTCTCTAAGTGTCGATGCTTTTAAAGTTTCAAAGTCTATTTCTATCTCATCAGGATTAGAGTTTCTCAGTGAAGGCTCTCTTGACTGTATTATATATACTACTTTTCCAAGCTTATCTCCAGGAAGTTTATTTATGTCCAAACTCAACTGCCTTTTTTCATCATAATTCATAGGCTTGGCACTATCCTCATCTTCTGATTTACGTGCCAATGAAACTTGCTGCTTTGTTTTCTTTGACGGACTGCAAGAGAGAAAGTTTGCTGCATTGAGAGCAATTTAAAATAATGTCACCCACACAACCCTCACACTTACATATTTAAAGACAGTTTTTTCTTCAATTTCTTTTTTTGCTTTAGCTTTTTCTTCTTTTGATTCACATATTTGTGTTTGGATTTTTCTTTGCCTCTTTTCCCCTTTTTAGACTTTCCTTTTTTCTTCCTCAGCTTGGGCAAGGAGGTTTTGGCCAAAGCCCGCAACTGCTGATGAACAGCTTTAAGCTGTCAAAGAAAAGAAGGAAAGAAACTAAGCATCTTGATAGTCATTACATGAAAAATATTGTGGAGGGAGAAACTGTTCCTGAAGGCCATGGAAGAGTTTTGGCAGCCAGGCAGGGATGGATAGGGTGTTTACTCAGTGGTGTAACGAGATTTTGGAAGGTAGAACAAACAGGATGAGGGGAGCTTTGGAAAATGGGGGCTTGCATTAAGAGGGAGAACATTTGTAGCAGGTACATGTGCACATGAGGGTTGTCTCTTGCCATCTTCCTCCCAGACTTTCAAAAAACAAAACAAAAAAATCTGTCTTCCTGCAGGAACATCCCAAAGCTCTTCTTTAGCATGAGAAACTTGGGGCTCAAGTGTCTCAGTGCACCACTTGCCCACCTCCTATGAGGTGGTTCTGTGCAAGGTAGTCTAGAGAGGATGGGGGGCAGAGTCTTCACATAATAAGTCTTGTCGTCTGGCAGACAATTATACTGAAACCAAGATAAAGTGCTGGCTTCAAAGTAATCTGCTGGAACTATACAACACCTACAGAGACAACATTCATGTTTTGTCCAAGTTAAAAAAAGAAAGGACCAGTTTACATTGCATAGGTATTAAAAAAGAGGAAAGGATGGATAAGAAGTCCAACTGAGACACATTAGCTGGATAGTTCACTGCAGAACAGTTAAGCAGAAGTAAGGGTGATAATCAATTAATCCCCCGGCCCTCAGCAAAATGGAGATGAACACGCATCTTGATACTGTTTGAGTAGTCATCTTTTCCCAATTAAGTAGCTCAGCACACTGAAATTGAGAGCTAAAACCCATCCACCTTTCATTAGATTTTGTAGCACTTCTCTGGACTTTAGCCAGAATTTGTGCATCTTGAAAGAGATGCAAAAAGCCCAGTAATTGTCCTGATGGAATCTCACAGTGGCTATGCTCATTAAAATTCAATAAATTATATTTTTAAAAGAGTAAGATGATACTAAGATTGCAGTCCCTTTATGAAGGCTATCAACACTGTAAACTGACAGAAAATAGAGGAGCTGTAGAAGTTCCAATTTGAATTTTGTTAAGAGTTTAAGTTTCAGTGGTGCAATTAATTTATAAGCAACTTATCACTGATGCTTTCTTGCCTGCAGGGAGACTGATAACATAGTAGCCTTGTTCATTCTTAGGATTTGGAGGTTGTGGATGAGAGAGAGTCTGCATGCAGTCTCCTCTTAAATTAGGAGTTGAAAATGGTGTCATAGATTAATTACATTCCCTTAGATTTTCAATAAAAATGTTTAGATTTGACCTATGATCTTTACAGTATGCCAGAATAATTCCTACTGATATTGTTCCTCAGACAGGCATATCCAGCAGGGATCAGTAGAAACTTCAATCTTGTTTACAATAGTCTAATGTAGCCTAGCATCTTATTGACCTGCTTTCCACAGAACTTGGACATATTTTTTAGTTTTAGTACTACTCAAAATTCAAAAGACAAAACAAACAAAGAATTAGATTGCTCATCGGACTGAAAACCTGAAGGAGTTTCATTATGATGTTAGGCATTTAAGAGTCCAGGTCAGCATGCCTGAAAGTAGTTAACCTAGGATGGGGATAATTTATGAAGTGAAGTAGCTTTAAGAGAGAGTCTAAAGGCATAAAGGCAGCAAGGATATCCATGAAAGAAAAAGTCCTGAGAAGGACACAAAAGGAAGGGGTAGTTGAATAGCCAGAGGCTAGAATCATAGCTCAGTAGGATTTGGAGTAAGCAAAAGAGCTTAAGGGCAAGTCTACACTACAGAGAGTTAAGTCGACCCAAGTTACACAACTCCAGCTAGATGAATAACCTAGCTGGAGTCGATATAGCTTAGGTTGACGTATTGCGGTGTCTACACCACGCTAGGTCGACCCATCTTATGCTTCTTGTTCCAGTGGAGCACCAGAGTAGATAGGAGAACGATCTGTGGTCGATCTAGTGGGTCATCACTAGACCCGCTAAATCGACCACCGGTGGATCGATCACCACAGCCTCAAGCCCCGGTAATTGTAGACATACCCTAAGTCAGTTGTTTTCAAACTTTTTCTGGCGACCCAGTTTGAAGAAAATTTGAAGAAAATTGTTGATGCCTGTGACCCAACAGAGCTGGGGATGAGGGGTTTGGGAGGGGTTGAGGCAGAGGGCTGCAGGGTGGGGCCAGGAATGAGGAGTTCAGAGATTGTGGGAGGGAGCTCTGGGCTGGGGTGCGGGAGGGGATCGGGGCCAGGAATGAGGTGTTGGGGGGGGTTCAGGGCTGGGGCAAAGAATTGGGGTGTAGGGTTGGGCATGGTATTACCTCCAGTGGCTCCTGGTCAGCAGTGCAGCCGGGGTGCAGAGGCAGACTTCCCGCCTGTCCTTGTGCTGTGGACCGTGCTGTGCCCCAGAAGCAGCCAGCCAGCAGCAGGTCCAGCTCCTAGGCGGAGGAACCATCCCCGACAGCTCCCATTGGCCGGGAACCATTGGCCACTTCTGGGGCACAGTGTGGTGTCGGAACAGATAGGGACTAGCCTGCCTTTGCCGGGCAGCACCACCAACGGGACTTTTAACGGCCCAGTCAGTGGCGCTGACCAGAGCCACCGCCACCCAGTGCCTTCCATTCTGCGACCCAGTGCAGGGTCGTGACCCACAGTTTGAAAACCACTGCCTTAAGTGACTTGTCTTGATGCTAACTGGCTCCCTCTTCAACTGCTTGAGAGGTGCAAAGAGCCCAATGTGATTAGGGCTTCAGAATAAGGCAATACCAACTGGATTTAGGCACTTTTGGAATTTTAATCCAATGCATTTAAAAAGACAGGTAGCAGATATCCTAGTCAACATCATCATACTGAAGGCTCTGAAGCCTGTATGTAAAAAGTTAAGCCTGCTGTTAGAGAACCTGCCATCTCCCACAAAGTAACCACAGCACAATGTGCTACCACATAAGAAAATAATTCAGCACCACCCCAAATGCACACTTTTGTACATACATTTAAAAAAAAACAACAACACTCTTTACAGAAAGCTCATGGTTCTAGACCTTAGAATGGATACATGTGAATGAGAGCCACCACAGGCTACAATCGTCGTGCACTTTGCACCCAGAGCATTGTTGCTTACTTGCTCTTGAAGCTTTGCAAGGCGCCGTGTTCTTTCCTCTTCTGAATCTTCAGATGATCTTTCTTCAGAGTCATCATCACTGCTGCTTTCACTAGAAAAAGCACTTGCTATTTCTGTTTTGGGCTGTGACGGTGGTATACTTGCAACAGGTTCATCTGGAATTTTGGCAAATTGCATCTCAAAGATATCCTAAAATATAAATAAAAAAAAAATGTTGGGACCTCTTTATAGGAGAGTAGATCATCTTTACTGATCTCTTTATATTGGTCTAGATGTCCTAGAATGGTCACAGGTCACCTAGCACCCAATGATTTCTCCTCTCTCTCAGAAGAGAATTCTCCAAGACCCATTACCAGAACAGCTCCACAGTGGGAACCTTAGGTGGTCCAGAATTTGTTAGTCTCTAAGGTGCCACAAGGAGTCCTCACAGTTTCATTTATTAAGTGATAACCCACCTGCAGTTTTCTTGCCATAGCAACCACTTCATGGTCTGGAGAGTTATATTTGTAGCAATTCATAAACATTAATCTAATATCTGCAGCAAACTCTTGTGTATCTTTATATTCATAGTTATCCATTTTCTTCTATGAGGAAACAATAATGAAGTTGCATTTTAGATGATCTAAACTTTAAGATACAGACTATGTATCTGGGACTTAATGCCAAATGTAAAAATCAAGGAAGACTGATACTTCCAGCATCAGAATAAATCTGGTGCAATAGGGTTACCATACTGCAGAAGCTCCAAAACCACCATTTAAAATAAATAAATAAACCGCAGCCACCACACAACCTCATACATCACATAGCCTCTTCTGACTTAGAATATTCTGTTGCAAATATTAACTGTCAGCAATATAACTTTATTGAATTAAAGCTATGATACTAACAAGTTTTGAATAACTAAACTTTCTGCTATAGTACCAAAAATCTTTAGCTAATGTTAAGTTAAAAGGTATATTTAATTTAGGACCATAAATCCCCTACACACGAGAATAAACCAGGAGTTGTGATTCTAGCCAAAACCCCTTACCTTAATAGTTCCAAGGTCTATAGGGCATTTCATGGTATCATGGTGGTCACTGAGCCCCAAAGCTGTAATGTCTACAGGTTTATAGAAAGGCCAAGCATATGATGCATGTTTCTTTGCAAACATTTCTTTAAGGATCTCACTACAGTGCTTTAGTTGTTCTGATAATTGAACATTTTTGACAACTTCAAGTGGCTGTTGAGAATCTGGCAAGTCTTTCTTTAGATAACTGTCTGGTACACTACATTCACTTTCTCCTCTACATATTTTAGCAATTTTTGGTTCATTAAGTGCTGGAGAAGATTCACAGCTTGCTGTGGATATTGTAGTAGTATCAGCCTTCCTTTTCACACCCTTTTTAACCTAGAAAACAAAAGTTTACATAGAATATTTCAAGTAACTAGAATTGCACAATTCCACGATAAATAGCAAAAGAGAAACTTTTTTTGTTTAGTTTTTTTAGACAAAAGCTTCTGTATTTTTTCTACACAACTGTTAAATATAAAATTGTAGAAACAAGTTCAAGACCTACTTTTTCAACAAAGTGTTACAATCTAGCATCAAGTGCTAGGCTTTCTTCTTTAGAGTTGGAAGAAAAACGTACTACCGTTTTATTTATTTTGCGGTCACTTAAGTAGGGTGAGATCTCAAAAAAGTTACTAGATTATGAAGTTGACATAAGAACAGCCACCAGCAAATACAAATATTCCTGCACTCTCGTATTTGAGGCCTAATTAGAGGTCATGAGTACAAGCTTTTAGCTCTTAGGTTAGGGTTACCATATTTCCACAAGCAAAAGAGGACACTAGGGGGGAGGAGCCCCGCTCTAGCCCTGCCCCTGCCCCGCCCCTGCCCCGCCCCCATCCACTCCCTCCCACCCCCTGATTGCCCCCCCTCAGAACCCCCCCCCGTTCCTTGTCCCCTGACTGCCCCCTCCTGGGACCCCTGCCACTAACTGCCCCCTAGGACTCCACTCCCTATCTAAGCCGCCCTGCTTCTTGTCCCCTGACTGCCCCCTCCTGAGAACCCCCCCACCCTCACTGCCCCCCTACAACCCTCCCTGTCCCCTGACTGCCCCGACCCTTATCCATACCCTATATTCACACCCCCGCCCCCAGACAGACCCCCGGGGACTCCCATGCACTATCCAACTGCTCCCTGCCCCCTGACAGGACCCCCAGAAGTCCCGAACCATCCAACCCCCTCTGCTACCTGCCTCGACCCCTCTCCACACCCCTGCCCCCCGACAGCCCCCCCCAGAACCCCAGACCCATCTAACCCCCTCTGCTCCCTGTCCCTGACTGT